CCTATATGTGCTAGAAGGGTGAAATTCGACTTTTGTTTCTATTTTGAAAAATAAATCTCTTCATGCTTCATATGATTTATGGCATGCTCGCCTTGGACATGTAAATCATTCTGTTATTTCTTTTCTTAATAAAAAAGGACTGCTTTATCTTACCTCCTTGGTGCCATCTCCTATGTCATGTAGTACATGTTAAATTGCAAAGAATCACCATTTGCCCTATTCTCGTGTTGAACATCGCTCTTCAAAGGTTTTAGATCTTATTCATTGTGATCTATGGGGCCCATCTCTTGTAAAGTCAATTTCAGGATTCACATACTATGCTTTATTTATTGACGATTATTCTCGTTTCACTTGGCTTTATCCATTAAAATTGAAATCTAACTTTTTTTAATACTTTTATTCAATTTCAAAAAATTGTTGAAAATCAACACTCTACTTGTATAAAAAAATTTCAAAGTGACGGTGGTGGTGAATTCACCAAGAACTACTTTAAAGCACACCTTAGTACCTTTGGCATTCATCATCAACTCTCTTATCTTTATACATCTGCACAAAATGGTCATGCCGAGAGGAAACACCGCCATGTGACTGAAACAGGTCTAGCCCTCCTTTTTCATTCTCACATTCCCACTCACTTCTGGGTTGATGCTTTTAGCACTGCGGCTTACATCATCAATCGTTTGCCTACACCGCTTCTCGGAGGTAAGTCACCTTTTCAACTCCTATATGTTTCCTCTCTCAATTACGAAAACTTTCATCCATTTGGTTGTCATGTTTATCCTTGTTTACGAGATTACATGACTAATAAATTTTTCCCTCGTAGCATCCCTTGCATTTTTATGGGTTATCATTCATCTTATAAAGGTTTTCGTTGACTTGACCCCACCACCTACAGACTCTATATTACCCGTCATGCCCAATTTGACGAAAACCACTTTCTTTTCAACATACTTCTCAAGCCCAACCCATACCCTCTCTCCAAATCTCAAATTTTCTAGAACCAAGTCTCCCTCCCATAGACATGCCCCTGTCTCCCTCTGCACCACACTCCTAACATATTTCCCAATCTGGATCCACCTCGTGTATTATTTATACTGATCCAATAGATGAGTCTTTGTAGGCAACTGATGCTCCTATAGGACCATCTTCGTCACACTTAGACTTCAGACCTGCTTCTCCGGAGCTCATTACTGAGTTACCCATAGTTGATCACACTCCTATTGCAGTCGCTCCATTGGGTTCTCATCCTATGCTCACACGAGCCAAAGCTGGCATTTTCAAAACGCACCATCCAGCACATCTCAGACTTGTGGGTTCCTCTGGACTTCTTTCAGCTCTTTTTGCATCCATTGAGCCTAAAGGATTCAAATCTGTTGCTAAGAATCCTGTTTGGCTTGCTGCCATGGATGAAGAAGTTCAAGCCCTGCAAAACAATTGTACCTGGATTTTGGTTCCTCGACCCACCAACACCAACATTATGGGTTCCAAATGGGTGTTTCGAACCAAATATTTGCCCAACAAATCTATTGAACATCTCAAAGCCCGTCTTGTTGCCAAGGGCTACACCCAGGTACCTGGTATTGACTACACTGACACTTTTAGTCCTATCATCAAGGCTACCACAGTCCGTGTTGTCCTCTCTCTTGCTGTAACCAACAAATGGCCCCTTCGTCAACTTGATGTCAAAAATGTGTTTCTCAATGGTCATCTCAATGAACATGTTTATATGGAGCAACCCCCTGGGTACATTGACCCTCGTTTTCCCAATCATGTCTATCAGCTACGGAAAGCCCTCTACTGTCTAAAGCAAGCTCCTCGTGCCTGGTTCCAGCGCCTTAGCTCTTTTCTAATTCAACTTCGTTTTTATTGTAGTCATGCAGGCACATCACTATTTGTTTTTCATAAGCACTCTGATATAATCTATATGCTTCTCTATGTTGATGGCATCGTTATTACAGGCAACGACCTATCTCTTCTTGACAGCTTCACTTGCAAACTCAACTCTGAGTTTGCTAGTAAGGATTTGGGTCCTCTGAGTTACTTCCTTGGTCTTGAAGCAACGACCACCTCTGATGTCCTCTTCATCAGTCAGCTGAAATATGCACGGGATATTCTCACACGCGCTCAACTACTTGACAGCAAACTTGTTCACACCCCCATGGTTGTTTCCCAGCACCTGTCTACTAATGGTCCTTTGTTCTCAGATCCTACACTTTACAAATCTCTTGTTGGTGCTCTCCAGTATTTGACCATCACCCATCCGGATATTGCTTATGCTGTCAACTCTGTCAGTCAATTTCTCCACTCCCCAACTGAAGACCACTTTCTTGTTGTCAAACGCATTCTTCGCTATGTTAAAGGCACGCTATACTTTGGCCTCACTTTTCATCCATCTGCTGCTCCTGGTGCTTTAGTTGCTTACTCAGATGTAGATTGGGCAGGTTGCCCTGATACTTGCCGCTCCACCTCTGGTTACTCTATTTATCTTGGCGGAAACTTGGTTTCTTGGAGTGCCAAGAAGCAACCTATTGTTTCTCGTTTCAGTTGTGAATCTGAGTATCGTGTTTTGGCGCTTACTACCGCTGAACTTCTTTGGCTCACGCATCTCCTCAGTGACCTCAAAGTTTCAATTCCACAACAGCCCCTCCTCTTATGTGATAACAAGAGTGCCATCTTCTTGAGCTCCAATCTTGTTTCTCACAGCTGGGCTAAGAATGTTGAGCTCGTCTATCACTTTCTTCGTGAACTTGTTCTCGCTAGCAAGCTTCGCACTCAGTATGTGCCTTCTCATTTGCAAGTTGTCGACATCTTCACCAAAAGTGTGTCAAAACCACTCTTTCAAATCTTTCGATCCAAGCTTCACGTCTGCTCAAATCCGACACTCAGCTTGCAAGGGGTTGTCGAGGATCATGCTAAAGATCCTCAGCCTTAATTCAAGGCTTTCCATTTTCACTCTCTTTGCCCCATAATTCTAGCCTCTAGATTTATTTGATTGATTCTTTCCATACTTGTAATTTTCATATACATATATATAACTGTGCATATATATATGAAATTGACTCACCACTAAAAAGTGTGGTGGTTTTTCAAACTCTCTCATGGGTGAGGCTTAAAGAAATAAAGGTAGGGATGACCAAGATCCAGAGGCGTCAAATCTGGGTAAAAGTCACAACTATGGTGACAGAGGAGATGGAAAAGAAGCAGGGACAAGTGGGAAAGAGATTTGGTGATCTAACTTTATAGAGAGAGAGAGAATGGCACAAGACAGGGTTAACGGTCATGGTGATAGAGAAGGAAAGAAAAATGAAGAAGTGGCAAGGATAGGGGGTTTGGGTGATCAAGGGCTCCGGAGGGAAAGAGAAGAATCACTCTCTTATCCATCAAAAGGAAGCTTCTACAATCTCAAAGTTTCAGCCCAGGTTGATAAACGGTTGACTAGTTTTCACACAACACTATATTATTAGGCTTTTGATAGAACAACAATTTACCTATATCTCTAGTCAAAAACACAAGCTAAAAATCCTTTGATTTGAAGAGGTAGTTCTAGGTTCTCTTTCTCTCTCCTCTCTCTCTTAGACCTCTCCTCAATGGTTTTGGATAGTTCCATAAAACTACGGTGATCACAACCCAATGGCAACAAACCCAAACAAAAAATTATGTCTAATATGAANAGTTCCATAAAACTACGGTGATCACAACCCAATGGCAACAAACCCAAACAAAAAATTATGTCTAATATGAATATTTAATCAATCAATTCATCAAACACATAGTGTATATGTGTACTCAAGTTGCAAGTGTATATGCAAAAACGATAAAAAACGCAAATTTCTTGACGCAGAAAATGCTTCTTGGAAAAAATTGCGAAAACCTCTCTACAGTTCACCAAAGCCTACTCTGGCAACTATCCTATATACAAAAATGATAAAGAACACAAATAATTTATTGACGCAGAAAACCCTTCTAGGAAAAAATCGCGGGAACCTCTCTAGAGTTCACCAAAGCCTACTATAGCCACTATCCCAAAGTCAGTTTATAAGTACTCAAATCTTATGTCTCAACCAATACAATGGTTTCATTTCTTTCAATAAACCTCTTCGTCGAAAGTCCATTTTCGACGTTATGGAGAGCTTCACTTGAACTCCCCGCCTCATGCACAGTTTGTGTAGGCCTTGAGCGATCTTATCTACCAAGGTCCCCGGTGTGCACACTTCCAATGGGTTTGATTCAACCAACTAAGCTCTTTTTCTCCAATGTGTGAGATTGGATAGGAATTGCAAGATGGTAGCCTAGGTTGGAAAGACATCTCTCTATTTTATAGGGTCGAAATAGAGTTTGTCTTGGAGTCCACGAAAACACAAATTCGTGAACGATCACTCAAACNTTCAAGATGGTAGCCTAGGTTGGAAAGACATCTCTCTATTTATAGGGTCGGAATAGAGTTTGTCTTGGAGTCCACGAAAACACAAATTCGTGAACGATCACTCAAACAATCGGAAAGCGGTGGTTAATAGAATGAAATTTGGAATCCGAGCTACATCAAGACTGCTCGAGCTATCTCAAGACCTCTTGAGCAGCCGGAGCGCTACCTAGAGGGCAATCCTCTCTACCACACACTTAGCCATATCTCATACGTGTCAGACACGGATATATAAGTGAAATTTGAGTGTCTGTGTTTCATAGACCGAAGAAAATGAACATGTATACACCTATACTATGGATACTTATAACTAACTAATCACAATCAAATGACTAAGGCCAAAAACAAGTGCAAAATAGAATGCCAAATCATATCAACACGCAACCTTGTTTTCCAGAAAAATTAAAGCGATTACATTACATAGGTTACATATTTATCCAACATTTCACAAACCCCTTGTATCTACACATAACAATTTTTTATTCATCGACTGTTTAATTTCTTCATTCATACATAATAGCTTAAAAAAGAAAGCAATCCTAATATTGTGAAGATAATTACTGTAGGACTTGTACGGCCTTTAGTAGCTGGAGTTTTTGAAGTATGTCATGAAACTATGCGCATGTTGTGCTCCAATTCCCATTCTTACCAAGTAACCATCAGGTTCTTCCAGGTTTAACATAAAAAAAGCAGTTTTCGGTACCGGAGTTGCCAAAAGAGCTGCACTAGAAACCTTTCCCCATCCAAAATTAAGTGCATGGAAAGGAAATTTCAACCAATCCGTTACTATTGTCAATTCTCGCATAGATGGGAAGAACTTATCCGTAGACTCAAGTGCCTTTGCATATAGTTTAATATATTCATCTATGATTACAGCTTTTGCCGCCTGAATCTTCAAAATAGTGGTGTGAAGAGGTTCNTCAGAAAAGCAGTTTTCGGTACCGGAGTTGCCAAAAGAGCTGCACTAGAAACCTTTCCCCATCCAAAATTAAGTGCATGGAAGGGAAATTTCAACCAGTCTGTTACTATTGTCAATTCTCGCATAGATGGGAAGAACTTATCCGTAGACTCAAGTGCCTTTGCATATAGTTTAATATATTCATCTATGATTACAGCTTTTGCCGCCTGAATCTTCAAAATAGTGGTGTGAAGAGGTTCTTCTAGTAGGTCTTTGGCTAAACATGACACCGAAGCAAGAACAAAGGCGTTGCCAGTGAATTTTTCTCCAAGTGGGGGTTGAATCCTCCTCCGGGAATCGACTAGGAATTGCAAACATATATTTGTGCCCAGTGGGATACAAAGGCCTGCACTCTTGCCTGAATAATGGAAACTATGTTAAAAAACAATAAAAATATACTAAGAGGATCGAATCCCACTCATCACTTACTGAAACTATCTTTTTGCTTTAATATTTGCTTTNCCGAAGCAAGAACAAAGGCGTTGCCAGTGAATTTTTCTCCAAGTGGGGGTTGAATCCTCCTCCGGGAATCGACTGGGAATTGCAAACATATATTTGTGCCCAGTGGGATACAAAGGCCTGCACTCTTACCTGAATAATGGAAACTATGTTAAAAAAACAATAAAAATATACTAAGAAGATCGAATCCCACTCATCACTTACTGAAACTATCTTTTTGCTTTAATATTTGCTTTTGGACTAGAATTAAACTGGTTGGTAGATCTAGCATGAAAGTATAATGTTTGCTTCGATAAAAAGATTTCTTTGCTGAAAAAACTAGATATAGAATATAGTTCAAGGCATGTATGAAAGCTCATGGAGGTTTCCTCGCAAGAGAAATGTATATTGAAGGAAACAAACTACCTAGTCTAGGGAAAATACTCTTATAAGAAGAGAAACTAGTTAATTAACCCTTTCACATTCCGAGAGGTTACTAGAATATATGGTCACAATATTGCATTAGCACATTAACCCACATATACAAAGTATTGCAGAAGATAAAAANGCGAAATGTATACTGAAGGAAACAAACTACCTAGTTTAGGGAAAATACTCTTATAAGAAGAGAAACTAGTTAATTAACCCTTTCACATTCCGAGAGGTTACTAGAATATATGGTCACAATATTGCATTAGCACATTAACCCACATATACAAAGTATTGCAGAAGATAAAAACTAGGTAATCGTCATTTACCTTCCATATATGTGCACATAGAACATCAAAGGTAGTGCACTTTGAGACCTTGCCTCTTTCAATTACTAGTCCATTCCATGTCTCGACAACTTCCTTCCTAATGCACACAGTAAGGAGTTTGAGTCTGCCTTTTCGATCAATTTGGCTGAATTTTGCAAGAGCNTGCTAGTCCCTTCCATGTCTCGACAACTTCCTTCCTAATGCACACAGTAAGGAGTTTGAGTCCGCCTTTTCGATCAATTTGGCTGAATTTTGCAAGAGCACTTTCCCAACATCTATCATNTACTAGTCCATTCCATGTCTCGACAACTTCCTTCCTAATGCACACAGTAAGGAGTTTGAGTCTGCCTTTTCGATCAATTTGGCTGAATTTTGCAAGAGCACTTTCCCAACATCTATCATCAGATGCCATGGCTTGCATAGGTATGGTGTATAGATCTTGAATGGCACTATATGGTCTTGTTCATATATTGAAGCAGATGTAGAGCTTGAATCAGATGTAGAGCTTGAATCAGATAAATAGATAGGCTGCAGGAGTACATTCCTTGAATGGTTGGGTAAAGGAAGATCTTATGCATCTTTTCCACTTGATATATGAGACCAAGATGCAAGAAAGTTGAATGCTCCTCGACCATCAAACAAAGCATGGCTACTACCAAAACCGACCAAAATCCCTACACAAGCANTTTATTGAAGCATATGTAGAGCTTGAATCAGATAAATAGATAGGCTGCAGGAGTACATTCCTTGAATGGTTGGGTAAAGGAAGATCTGATGCATCTTTTCCACTTGATTTATGAGACCAAGATGCAAGAAAGTTGAATGCTCCTTGACCATCAAACAAAGCATGGCTACTACCAAAACCGACCAAAATCCCTACACAAGCAAACTTTGTTATCTGCAAAAAAGAATTAGTGAGAAAAGAATGGGGAGAGAGATAGAGAGATATGTAGACAAACCCTCTTTCGATCTCTTTATATTCTATAATCCTCCAAAAGAAAATGTTATTTGAACGTAATCAAGGGACCTAATTAGTTGTAGTTGTCAGATTGAAAGTGTATTCTATATATCAAACATTTAAACTATACCGCTAATCTAATGACTCTAATGATTGCAATGAATTAAGTTCCTGACTAAATCCCCAAATTAGATTCCTATATCATTAGATCCCTAACTAAATCTCCAATTAGATTCTTATAGCATTTTGAGCTTTAAATCCATTTCATTAAATTGTGCAAAATCGTAACAATCCATACAACGCAATGTTTTTTATGTTTTAATGGTCACCATGAAGTACTGATATTAATATGTTATAAGCTTACTTTCCCTCTTTGTGCCCGAAGCTGCAACTTGATTTTGATTGAGGTAAATAAGGTAGAAATACGAGGAAAAGAAAATTTGAACTGACTATTAGAGTTACTCTTTTACAAAACCAAGAATTACCAAGAAACAAACGATGTAATAAATCCTCAGGTGCATAATTAGCTGGTAGTTATTGATAAAGAGGAGGTGAATCAATGAAGAGAAGGATAACAATGAACTCTATCAAATATAAGTAAATGAAATATATAAAACCTAGGGTTTTAAATTTGATGACTTAAGTTAAAACTAATAAGATGGTCACCTTGAACAATGCTAAAACCTATAAGAAGAACAGAAAGTTCTGTTTTGTCGATGATAAGAGGTTACCTTTTTCTTCAACCAGCAAAATCAAAGGATAACCCAAGATTCATGATCTAAACTCAAACACCATCTCAAAAGGGCCTAACTCTTGAAGTACAAATGAAGTTTTAGGAAAACTTAGACATTTTTCCATTGTGTTGTTGAAGGACAACCATCCTAGTATTTTTCCACGATAAGAAAAGAGTTTTTCTAGAAGTTTCTGACTCCAAATATCACAGGAAATAATATTTATTGAACTTGTCTTAATAAGATAAACCTAAAACCTGCACAACGAACATCATATCGATGATTAGTCATACTGGTCACAAGGTTCAAACCTATCAAGAAAGCATAAATCTCTGTTTCTTCAAGACAATATATTGTAGGTTTCAACTTCAAATTCCCAAGGAAAAATCATTATGACATAATTGATCATCAAGAAGATGAATACAGTTCTTTTGTATATAAGAGAATTCGAACCTGCACAACAACTAGTGGAATTTTTGAAATATCATCAGCTTTAGGAAGCTGCGAAACCAGCTTTTCATAGCATGGCTTGTATTCGTTTAACCTACCGAGCTCCTCAAGCTTGGAATTGGTTGCTGCAGTTATCATGGTGACTCCTTCGTTGTTGCAGTCGATCTCGAGCTTTCCTGTCGTTTTGTTGATTCTAAACCTTCCAGCAGTCGGAAACCATGAAATGAGTACCTTCTCCAGAGCTTTCTTGGCTCTCTCAACAACAACTTCTGCCTCAGAATATGACTCGGTGCTAAAATGATACTCATAGAAGAAGATAGTATAGAGAATTGCTGGTGATAGCCTGTCAAGGCCAGATAGCTCAATAGTTTGCCTATTAGGCTGTGGACATGGCCCTACAGTTTCCATCAATGATAGTTCTAATTCCATGATTAACAAATATGTGTTTCAAAACTTTGAAGGAATTTGCAGAAATTAAGAAAGATGTCTCACCTTCGTTAGAAATGGCAAGAACCCTAGATTTATAATGCTTCAAAAACATGGATACTGATTGAGGTCAACACGACAACCCTAATTCTTTATTGCAAGTAAGGCCACAAATGTATAGCAAAATGACATAGGTGCAATATTTAACTTTATATGATATAAAATCAAGCACCATATTGAAAAGAAGCATAGGTCAATTGCATCAAGTTCACACCTAAGATACTTTATGTTAGAATACAAAAAGATTAGGGTAACAGACAATAATTGGTCAGGCTGATTAGATTGTATTGTTTGTTTGGAGTTGTCTATGTTACAATTGTGGTTGAAGTCGTGGTATGGACAATTGATTTGCTGAGCATTGAGACACATTAGTTGTAACATTACTAATGGTATCGACCAATACACTCGAAATGCAATATAAACGAAGAAATTGGATATGGTAGGAGATGTATGCCACATTTCAATGTCATAGGATGGGGTCAGGAAAAACACTGTGCAATTCAATGATTTTGACTCAGAGGCTTGACTAAGTCAGTTGATACGTCTCCAAGTCAATCATAAATTAAATGAGANGTGTCAGGCAAAACACTGTGCAATTCAATGACTTTGACTGAGAGGCTTGACTAAGTCAGTTGATACGTCTCCAAGTCAATCATAAATTAAATGAGACTCGTGATTTGCACATAATGTATAACAGCCTCAAAATAGAACGGGTTATTCTAAATACAAACTCACCCTAGATGTATCGGTATTGACTGATCTTTTGATTACATTTTCAATCCGTGTTTGGCATTCCTTTCTAGTGATTGAAGAATCTTAAGAAACTGCAATGGACAAGAATCGGTCCATTTCAGTACATTTCTTGTCAATTTTTCCAATTATCATCATCCACTAAATTCAACTTTTGATTATCAGCAGTGATTCTTGAAACGCTACCACTTAAGCTTTGGTGCTAAAGGAGGCGCCGATATTAATATATTGTTATTTGTTTCAACTTAATACATAATGCTATAAAGTAACCCTATTGATTTGCCTTAGTTAACATATAGCTCATTCATAGCACCTTTAGTGCCACTATTTATTTTTCTTACATTATCCCTTCTACTATACCAAACAAGTTTCTCACTGCCTAAAAACTAGATGACTGTCAGATTTTGGATGGAAAATTGCCTCGTGTGATGATAAAGTAAAACTAAATAACCGTTTCAACGTCGCACAATGTGCAATCAATTAAAATAGTTGAAAGGGCATTGTTAAGAAAGNTACTAAAGGAGGCGCCGATATTAATATATTGTTATTTGTTTCAACTTAATACATAATGCTATAAAGTAACCCTATTGATTTGCCTCAGTTAACATATAGCTCATTCATAGCACCTTTAGTGCCACTATTTATTTTTCTTACATTATCCCTTCTACTATACCAAACAAGTTTCTCACTGCCTAAAAACTAGATGACTGTCAGATTTTGGATGGAAAATTGCCTCGTGTGATGATAAAGTAAAACTAAATAACCGTTTCAACGTCGCACAATGTGCAATCAATTAAAATAGTTGAAAGGGCATTGTTAAGAAAGGTATAATCTAGGGAGTAATTTGAAACTAGTGCCACAGTGTTGGGATAAAGTGTACCTAACTCTATTGTACAAAAAAAAGTTTACCCTAGATTTACAATGATCTCAGGTGACCCTAAGTAACTCAACCACAAGTTATGTGTGTGTGAGAGAGAGAAAGAGAGAGAGTATTGAATTCGAAAATAGTACCCCAAAATACTGAAAAGCAATACCACTATCTCCATAATTCCTGAACTTAATTAGTGAAGTTGCACCCTTAAGCTGGCCTTCCATGGCCCGGTTCAGTACATAAGTTTTAGCATAAGGACAAGAGGTTGCTTATGATATTTGTATAAAATGGTTTCTGCCTGCCCATGGCTGACAAATTTAGCAGAAAACCTGCCACTTNTGTTGTACAAAAAAAAGTTTACCCTAGATTTACAATGATCTCAGGTGACCCTAAGTAACTCAACCCCAAGTTATGTGTGTGTGAGAGAGAGAAAGAGAGAGAGTATTGAATTCGAAAGTAGTACCCCAAAATACTGAAAAGCAATACCACTATCTCCATAATTCCTAAACTTAATTAGTGAAGTTGCACCCTTAAGCTGGCCTTCCATGGCCCGGTTCAGTACATAAGTTTTAGCATAAGGACAAGAGGTTGCTTATGATATTTGTATAAAATGGTTTCTGCCTGCCCATGGCTGACAAATTTAGCAGAAAACCTGCCACTTGTCTTAAGCCTTTTCATGTCTTTGTCCTGTTTGCTTTAGCATAACAAAGATAAAACTAAAAAGCTCAACGCAAATTCTGCATAAATTTAACAATGCAGTGGGTTCTCTTTACTGTTGCCCAAAGCTTGGGATTGCTAAAGTGTGGAGTCTGTCTAAACAAACATCTCCATTAGTAAGTTTACCAATTATTCAGTGAACTTATTATTGAAGCTTTCAAATATGGCTAAAATAGAACAACATGTCTGAAATTAAAATCCCAACTTTGTGAAGCTTTTATAGTGGGACAAACCATATAGAATGAGAATCTCCTTACTGTGATGAAATGCTATTTTTTTAGTATCATACTTTCACATTTTATCCAATAAAAAGGTGTCATGTGCAAAAGTTTTATAATTTATTATTTATTATTTCTTTGTCATTTTTTCAATCAATGGTTGAGGATTTTATGTTGGCTATAATTTCAACTTTTTATCTATTTGTCATAGAAAAAATAAAAACAATGTAACTTAGTATTTTGGAATAATTTTTTATACATGTATTCCATAATTTCAACATACATATAGGTTGTAAGATACATCTTGACCACTTACTTGTCTAGAACATTAACCATGTAATAAGTCTCAAGACTCAACCATTTATATTCTCAAGTCAACTAAATACACTTAACAACCAAGAATTATTTAGTATGTTCTCTTTTAATACTTTGTTGTTGAATTCCCAAAATGTCTCTTAGAAACTCGAACTTTTCTTTAGAAAGTACTTTGGTAAAAACATTCACTACTTGATCTTCGGTCTTTCAATATTTGACTTTAATCTCTTCATCTTCCACGGCTTCTCGAGTAAAGTAATGTTTGATTACAATATGCTTAGTTCGGCTATGGTAGACGAGATTCTTTGTTATGGTGATATCTGATTTATTATCACACAAGATTGGAGTTGATTCACCTTACTTTTCACCAATGTCTTCTAAGATTCTTCTTAACCAAATTACTTGAGAAGTAGCCAATGATGTTAAAACATATTCAGTTTCAACTGATGATTATGTCACACTTTTTTGCTTCTTTGACACCCATGAAAATACACCAGAACCAAGTGAGAAAACATAGCCCGAAGTGCTCCTCATATCGTCAATACTTCTAGCCCAATCACTATTACAAAATTCAAATAACTTGATACCAACTTTTCTTCCAAACANAATTCTCATTTTCCTTGTAGTTGAACTCATAGATAAAGTGCTTGAATTTGTAGAAATAGAAGAAGATGAAGATGAGTTGGGTGTTGAAGACATTTGTGGTGGAACTTCAACTTCTTCATTTTCATTTACATTCTCAAAAATTTCATAATCTTCATTTGCAACAACCATTTGATTTTAACCATTTTTTTCTTTCCAAATTTACGACTCTTTCTCATTAAAGAGAACATCTCTATAAATAATCACTTTATTTCTCTTCAAATTAATGATTCTATAACCCTTTAGAGCTATAAACCACAAAAATATATTTTTTACTACTTTCATCAAACTTGTACCTTGCTTCTTTATAAACATGTGCAAAATTATTGCACCCAAAAACCTTTAAGTGGTTCACCGACGGCTTCCTTCCACACCATGCTTCAATTGAAGTTTGATTTTTCAAAGCCTTTGTTGAACATCTATTCATCAAGTAAACCGACGTATATACCGTTTCAACGTATGGGAACAAAATGAGATAGAATGCATACTTGGGTGACCATTGCTGTAATTTTTAAGTCAAATAGATGTTGTTATTCATCAAGATCACTTAAAAATAAATTGAATACATTAGAAACTAAGGTGATGAGACCATAATAAGACATTAGAGACTACTGTCACAATTAACCTTTTTATCTATAGAAATTAATTGGTGCATTGATTCATGTTTCATTCTTATGGCACTAATTAGTAATAACCCTTTAGTTAAAAATATATGTGAATGATTACACTTTCTGGTACCTATATAAGTTTTTCTCATTTGTTATTTGAAATTCAGTGGACCTGGTCAATTGTTGAAGCCCTTGCCAAAATTTCAAATGCCAAGGAGGCAAACTTCAATTAAAGCTTTAAGCCAATAACTCACCATCTTTAGGNACTTCTCATTTTCCTTGAGTTGGGTGTTGAAGACATTTGTGGTGGAACTTCAACTTCTTCATTTTCATTTACATTCTCAAAATTTTCATAATCTTCATTTGCAACAACCATTTGATTTTAACCATTTTTTTCTTTCCAAATTTACGACTCTTTCTCATTAAAGAGAACATCTCTATAAATAATCACTTTATTTCTCTTCAAATTAATGATTCTATAACCCTTTAGAGCTATAAACCACAAAAATATATTTTTTACTACTTTCATCAAACTTGTACCTTGCTTCTTTATAAACATGTGCAAAATTATTGCACCCAAAAACCTTTAAGTGGTTCACCAACGGCTTCCTTCCACACCATGCTTCAATTGAAGTTTGATTTTTCAAAGCCTTTGTTGAACATCTATTCATCAAGTAAACCGACGTATATACCGTTTCAACGTATGGGAACAAAATGAGATAGAATGCATACTTGGNTATGGGAACAAAATGAGATAGAATGCATACTTGGGTGACCATTGCTGTAATTTTTAAGTCAAAT